TGTGAATGCTGCCCTCTGGTGCCCCATGGCCAATTGCTCCAAGGGGGTGCGTCTCCGTAAGGTAGGTGGGTGTATCACCCTGGGTTGAGTGTTGTGCCTGTAAGTCTTTCTACTGTTGGGCTGAAAGCCAGTCCTTAGGAGTGAGTCCTATCCCACCCTCAAAGTGTATCCCAGGACCATAGTCTTGGGGGTCCCACCAGACTCTATCCAACCAGTAATTATGGTAGCTATACAATTTTTTTTTAAAACACCCTTTTTCACTTGACTTACTTTTTGCCTATTCCTCCATTCTAAGGGAAAATAAAAATAAAAACCAAACCAGTTGCTTCCCCAGCCCTTTCCAACTCAAGGCAATCCCATGAGTGTCAGAGTACAGCTGTTCTTCATAGGAATTAAATGGATGTGATCTTTCAGAAGTAGATAGCTAGACCTTCCTTTCAAGGTGCTGGTGGATGGATTTGAACCACCGACATTTCACTGAATAGTGGAGTACTTCACAGTTTAAACCACCCAAGGATTTCTCTCTGAGCCCTAAAAAACAAAACAAAACAAAGAGTTTGCTGTGAAGTTGATTCCCATTCATTCGAACCCCCATGTGTTACAGTGTAGAACTGCTCCATAGATTTTTATAGGCTTTAATCTTTATGGAATCAGACTGCCAGGCCTTGGTACTACTGGGTAGGTTGGAACAGCCAACAGTTGGGTTAGCAATTCAGTGCGAACTATTTTCATCTCAGTGCCAACTATTTTCGTCATCCATGGACTGCATTACTGGCAAGCAACAAGGCAACCATTGCCGTGGAGTCGGACAGGCCCATAGAGACCCCTCCTTGGCTTTCCGAGGCAGTATCACTACGGAAGTAGATTGCCGAACGGTCCTCCCTGAGATTGGCTGGTGGGTTTGAACCGCCAGCCTTCTGGTTAGCAGTCAAGTTCCTTAAGCACTAAGTTACCAGTGTATTAGGGGAGGGGAGCATTATTCTGCCTACTACACTTTCTGGCCAAAGGTCCCATAGCTAGCCTGAGTGTCATGTCCACAAAATGTCAGGTATATAAGCTGTTAGGTTAAACTAAAACCCAAACTCATGCTACAGGGGGCCCTTTCCCTCAATATTACTGGCTTTGTTCTACAGTAACGTTCTTTGAAGGCCTGGCTACCGCAACAACAGCTCCGCCCTCCAGACTCCGGCGAGCTCCTGTTGGGCAATCGGAGGAACAACCCACAAGAGCCCCTCTCCCGGAAATGCGCAAGTCGGTGGGCGGGAAGCCAACGCGGGTCGCACGAAAAGCGGGTGAGAGGTCTCTGCGCAGGGTGTCAGGAGCTTGGACCGAGTGGGGAGGAGCGCAACACGTAGCGCGCGCGGCCAAGGCGAGTCCAGGACGTACTCCGGAAGCTCGGGCACCTCCGCCCCAGTCCCGCCCTGCGTTGGGAACGCTGGCGGTGTCGCTCAGTAGCCTCAGCACCGGCCTTGGGTCGCGGCGAAAGGCAGGAGCAGCCAGGTTGGGGGCTAGGGTCTTCTCTGAGGCGCCCCCGCCATTGCTGGGCGACTAGGATTTCCGGTAATCATTTGGTCTGCTAGTGAACCACATAACTTTTTTTTTGGGGGGGTTTGGTGAATCGGGTAACTGGTCTCCCACATGGGGCGAGCACCGATTAGGTTTTTGGGTTTTTTTCGTTAAACAACAATTGTTGAAGCACATCGTTGCAAATAATGACTTTTCTTGGGCTCAGGTTCGTTTTCAAATCCAAAGCTTTTAAAATTTTAAATTTGTCTAAATTAATGTTGAGTAACTGTGGGAAAGTGTTCTTTCTTTATCCATTGACTATTGGTCCCTTTATTTTATTTTTATTCTGAATTGGGTAAAAGTTTATAGAGCAAATTCATTTTCCATACAACATGTCATACACATTTTGTGTCTTAATGTTAAATTACAACAATCCTCATAATGTAACAGCTCTCGTCCCATTTCCTCCCTGTGGTTACCTTTTCCCTGTGTTCTTCCCTATGCATTTCTGTCCTCTGAGTTATCTCCCTGTGCAAATAATGCCCTTCTGGTCTCACATAGTTGATAGTTCTAAGAAATGTTCCTACGTGTTGTAAATGTTCACCTTACAGGCCAGTAACTGGAAGCCACAGGAGTAAGTTCGGTTCCAGGTTGGAAAGATGACAAAGGGCCATAGTCTCAGGGGTTTCACCAGTCTCTATCAGACCAGTAAGCCTGGTCTTCTTTTATGGAAGCACTGGTTAGCTTTTAACCAGCAGATGATCCCACTTGTGAGGATTTGCAGTAATTGAAAAGTTAAGGCAAGTGAAGGGACTTACACAATAATGGCACATTAAGGGTATATGCAGGCTTTTTATGATCTTACCGTGAGTGACAGGGATACCACTCGTATGTTGTACTGTGGTGAATTGTGTATTGCTGTGATACTGGAAGCTATGCCAGCATTATTTCCATTATCAGCAGGGTCACCTATGGTGGACAAGTTTCAGTGGAGCTTCCAGATAAAGACAGAAATAATTGGTCACTGAAAACTTTAGGAATAGCAGTGAAACATTGTCAGTGGGGATACACATGAGCAGAAAGGATCAAATAAGATAAACAGCTAAGAAAAATCTATGATTGCGCTACTTATCTGTTACTGCCCATTACAAAGAAAAAAGGCCCCAAGGAAAAGAATAGAAATGTAGGAAAATTTGGCCTTCTTGTTTATGAATCATGTAATTAGTAGAGGTTGGTTAGAACAGAAGGAAAGTACTTTTTTCAGGCGGAAGGAAGGTTGGGCAATCCTACTTCCGTAGTGATAATTGCCTCGGAAACCCAAGGAGGGGTCGCTATGAGTCGGGGGCGACTCGACGGCAAATAATAACAACAACAACGACAAATATACTGAAAAGCTGAACTCTGAGGACAATGAGTTGGAGTTGATTATATGGAGAAGTTATTTCTAGGGCTACCTGGTAATTCTGTGATAAACAGGAATACAGATAGAATGTTTTAAAGCCTGGGAAATTTTTATGGTCATTGTATTATAGGCTTTGATTTGAGATTTTTGCTTTATCTGCCATACCTTCTGTGCCTCAGAATTTTTTGTGGTTTGCTGTGTGTATGTGTTTTCCTGTAAATAAAACACACAAGTAAGCTTTCTGGAAATCAAGTAAATTCATCCCAGTGTTTTTCCCTGCATCATGTTTCTAAGCTTTTAATAATACTCCAAACAAAGTTGTGCAACCATCACCAGAATCTGTTGCCAACTTTTCCATCATCATTAACTGATACTCAGTACTTCTAAACAGTGACTCCCCTTTTCCCTTCCCTGACCCTGGTACCAAAACCAGTCAATTCCAACTCATAGTGACCCCAGGTGTATCAGAGTAGAACTGTGCCCAGTAGGGTTTTCAGTAGCAGATTTCTTGGAAGTAAATCAAGCCTTTCTTCTGAGGTGCCTCGAGATGTACTTGAACTGCCCACCAGTCTTTCAGTTAGCAGCTGACTGTGTTAATTGTTTGTACCATCCAGGGACACACTGTCCTAGTAATTACTAATAATCTTTGGTCTCTATATACCTACACACTTGCCTATTCTACATATTTCATGTAAGTGGAATCACACAGTATTTGCTCTTTTGTGAGTACCTTATTTCACTCAGCATGTTTTCAAGGTTCATCCATGTTAAAGCATGTATCAGGCCTTCATTTTCCTTTATAGCTGAGTAATTACATGGATGGAATCTCTTATGAAAATTTTTTAAAAAAATTTATTTTTACCTGCAGAATAATTTTTCAAATAAAGCATAACTCAGAAACCCAGAGAATAATAATAATAATAATAATAATAATAAAAATATGGCTGTTCTGTCTGAAGCATAAAGAGGGTAGGGACTACCTGCTGAATTGCATGGTCTCTGGACAGAATCTCTTTTGCTGTGAAATATACGATTCTCTCTACTTTGATCGGGAGCTCTGGTAGCATAGTGGCTAAGGCACTTGACTGCTAACCAGAAGGCTGGTGGTTCAAACCCACCAGCCACTCCTTGGAAGGAAGATGGGGCAATCTACTTCCGTAGTGATACTGCCTCAGAAACCCAAGGAGGGGTTGCTATGAGTCGGGTCCGACTCGATGGCACACAACAACAATAACAGCTACTACTTTGATCACTCTTTCCCTCCTGTCTTCCGTTCATCCTTCAGGCTCCAGCTTAAACATCATTTTCCTAACTCCCCTGAATATTTCTGCTGCATGCTATCATAGTACCTTTTGTGTGTGTGTGTGTGTGTGTGTGTAAAACTTACCATCTTCTATTAGTTGAGGTCTGTATTCCCCTCTGAATTAGAGTGCCAGTAGTGACAGGGACCATGAGAAATTTGTTCAAGATTACAACATCTAGCACAGAGTTGGCACTCAGTGTCTGTTAGAGGAGCCATGTTGGCATAGTGGTTTAGTGCTTGGCTGCTAACTGAAAGGAATGCATTTTAAACCCATCAGCTGTCTAGTTCCATAATGAGTACAGCCTAGGAATCCCTATGGGGCAATTCTACTCTGTCCTTTAGGGTCTCTATGAGTTGTTTTTTTTTTTGGTGTAGCTGTTGAATGGATAAAGGTATAAATTGCCATTGTCTTATAAGGATTGTAAGAGAGAAATTGAATTAATTATGCCTTTTGTAAATAAATTTAATTCTCCAATGTTTCTGTTTTTGAATACAGTTTGGGAGTGCTGAGGTGACTCCGTGAGTGGAACCTGGTTGTGTGGGTGCCTCAGTATGGATGACTACACAATCCTCCGAGTGATCGGCGAGGGCTCCTTTGGCAGAGCTCTTTTGGTTCAGCAGGAAAGCAGTAATCGGATGTTTGCCATGAAGGAAATAAGGCTACCCAAGGTCACTACTAAAGAAATTAGCTCATGTTGAAAGTGTCCATGCAAGTTATATAGGAGAATAAGTTCTCTGGATTTAAAATGAAATTTTTCCTACATACAAAAGATGTAATGGACTTATTCATTGGCTTCACAGGGTCTTGATACATTTTATGTGGTGGTTAGGATATTGTTATTAGTGAAAAAGAAGAAGAATTGTTAATGTTTAGGTGATGATTGCTACTCATTTTATGTAAATGAGAGTAATTTGTAATTGTTTACCAATTCTTATACCCAAGGGTATCTGAAATCTTTGCAAAAAAGCAACTGTGGTGCAATGTTGTTGTTAGGTGCAGTTGAGTCATCTCTGACTCATAGCGACCCTATGTACAACAGAACAAAAAACTGCCCAGTCCTGTGCTAGCCTCATGGTACTTGCTATACCTTAGCCCATCGTTGTGGCCACTGTGTCAATCCATCTTGTTGAGGGCCTTCACCTTTTTTCTTGACCCTCCATTTTACCAAGCATGATATCATTCTCCAGGGAATGGTCCCTTCTGACAATATAGCCAAAGTATGTGAGATGAAGTCTGGCCATTCTCACTTCTAAGGAGCATTTCAGCTGCACTTTTTCCAGGACATATTTGTTAGTTCTTTTAGCAGTCCATGGTACTTTCAGTATTTTTTGCCAGCACCACAACTCAAAAGCATCATCTCTTCTTTGGTCTTCCTTATTCATTGTCTAGCTCTCACATGCATATGAGGCGATTGAAAATACCATGGCTTAGGATAGACGCACCTTAGTCTTCAGGGAGATACCTTTGCTCTTTAGCACTTGAAAGAGGTCTTTTGCAGCAGATTTGCCCGGTACAATATGTCTTCTGATGTCTTGACTGGTACTTCTATTGTTGATTGTAGAACCAAGTAACATGAAGGCTTTAACAACTTCAATCTTTCCTCCATTAATCGTGATGTTGCTTACTGGTACAGTTGTGAGGAGTTTTGTTTTCTTTATATTGAGAGGTAATCCATACTGCAGACTGTAGTCATCAGTCTTCATCAATAAGTGCTTCAAGTCATCTTCACTTTCAGCAAGCAAAGTTGTGTCATCTGCATATCATAGGTGGTTAATGAATCTTCCTCCAATACTGATGGTACGTCCTCCTTCTTGTAGTCCAGCTTCTCGGATTATTTGCTCAGCACACAGATTGAATAAGTGTGGTGAAATGATACAACCCTGATGCACTCCCTTCCTGATTTTAAACAATGCAGTATTCCCTCATTCTGTTCGAATGACAGCCTCCTGGTCTGTGTACAGGCTTCTTATGAGCACACTTCAGTGTTCTGGAATTCCCATTCTTCTCAGTGTTACCCATAATTTGTTATGATCCACACAATCGAAAAGAAGAACCACCGGTAGTTGGAAAATTTGGCCTTGGTGACAGAAATAATGCTGGAAATCGTATGGTAGAATTTTGCAAGACCAACGACTTGCTCATTGCAAACACCTTTTTTGAACAACACAAACGGAGGCTGTACACGTGGACTTCACCAGGTAGAACACACAGGAATCAGATTGACTACATCTGTGGCAAGAGGCGGTGGAAAAGCTCAATATCTTCAGCCCAAACCAGGCCAGGAGCTGATTGTGGAACAGACCATCAACTGCTTATATGCAAATTCAACTTGAAGTTAAAGACAATGAAAACAAGTCCAAGAGAGCCAAA